CCACTGCACTCCAGTCTGGGCGACAGAGTGAGACTCCAACTAAAAAAAAAAAAGTGTATCCTCGCCTAATACCACAACAAAAGGGAAGTGTAGTTCTGTACTGTCCAGTACAGTAGCTGCTGGCCATGTGGTGATTAGATTTTAAGATAAAATGAAATAAAATTAAGCATGCAGACCAGGCATGGTGGTTCATTCCTGTAATCCCACCACTTTGGGAGGTAGATGTGGGAGGATTGCTTGAGCCTAGGAGTTCAAGATCAGCCTGGGCAGCATTGTGATTTTTTTTGTCTAAAAAAAAGTAAAAATTAGTCAGATATGGTGGCACACACACCAGTAGTCCCAGCTAGGCAAGAGGGTGAGGAGATCTCTGGAGCCCAAGAGTTTGAGGCTGCAGTGATCTGTGATCGTGCCACTGCACTCCAGCCTGGGCAACAGAGTGAGACCCTAATTCTAAAAAAAATAGAAGAAAGAAATCACGCAGTCACTCAGCTACAGGGGCACATTTCACATGCCCAATTGCCGCATGTGGCCAGTGGCAGCCGATTCCACAGTACAGGTATAAACTTTTCTGTTATCTCAATTCTACTGACCACTATTTCTCTAGTTGGATCAAAATCGAAGGTGAAAGTTAAACTATAAAGTTCATAGAAGTAAGTGCTCAATGATCTCTTAAACAAAACTCCAAAGGAATAAATCATAAAGAAAAAATAGACTGGGTGTGGTGGCTCATGCCTGTAATCCCAGCACTTTGGGAGGCCAAGGTGAGAGAATTGCTTGAGCTCGTGAGTTGGAGACCAGCCTGGGTAACATAGTGAGACCACCTCTCTACAAAAGTAAAAAAAGTAACCGGAGAGTCAGAGCTCTTTTATGTTTTCTCTAGCAGACTTTCCGGTGCACGCTAGAATCCCCTTTAAAAACATTAGCCAGGCATGGTGGCACAAGCCTGTAGTCCCAGCTACTTGGGAGTCTGAAGCAGAGGACCACCTGAGCCCAGGAGAGCAAGGCTGTGGTGAGCCTCGATTGCGCCACTGCACTCCAGCCTGGGTGACAGTGAGACACCAACTAAAAAAAAAAAAAAAGTCAATTATCTCCAAATCAAGAATTTTCATTTGCTATAGGTTTCAGAATGTGAGAAAATATTTGAAAGCCCAACCCTCACACCTTCTTATCAAAAAAGAAGGAGCAACCCAGACAGGAAACTGGGCAAAGGATTTGAGCAGGCAACCACTGAGGCAAGAACAAAGACCTCTGGTAGGAACCAAGTCTGGCCCAGACCAAGTGTTGTGATAGGTATCTCCCATAATTCCAAGGGTCACCCGGGTGACTTCCCAAAGAAATGTGCTCTGGACCTGAGGGAGGATGCCCAAGGTGTTCACTGGACAGGAGCTGGAGATGGTTGGCATGTCCACCCAGGGAGGAGACACCCCAAGGATTTCTGTGAAGCTGGCAGGAGCTGTGACCCAAGCATGAACACAAAAAGGGGAGTCACACCAGTGAGACACAGAAGGGGTAAAATAAGATTCTGCTAGGTCAGTGGGATAGGCCAGTGTCACAGGTAAGATGGAAAGAATTGCACAGAAATTAGATGAGGAAAAATAGTTTATTTAGAAAGGAGAGAGAGAGAAGAGATTCGCCTCCCCAAGATTAGGGAAGGGGCCAAAGCTTAAAGAAAAGCATGGCCCAGCCAGAGTTCAGTGAAATCACAACCACAGCTGCTTGAGGTTGAATGTTTTTAAGGCTTCCTTTGGTGTGGGTAGGTTGTTAAGGTGACTGAGTGGTGGTCTGTTTTATGTCATCACCAAGGGGGCAGGTAGCACAGGAACTGTTACCATGGTGATGGGGTAAGTCTATGTCACACAGGTCTCAATAGATTAGGTTAGCTCGGGCCTTTGTGGCTGGAAGACAAATACTTGTATAGCA